GCTGCTAAATCACTACTGAGCTATGTTTTTTTCCTAAGCATGTAGTACAAAATTAGGGAGTGGGAAGTAAAGAGCTGTTACCCCAGTATATCTTCTGGAATCAAACCAACTTCCACCTCCTGGCTGCTATAAATTCCTTCCATAGCTAAAGCTGCCCCACCAGCAGTGTCCATGGAAAGCAGTCATTTCTCTGCTACCTGTAATCTTACCTCTTGATGTAGTCTTTTGAAGAAGAGGTGCCCGTACAATACCTAGCACAATCAGATCCCTCTGTTGGCTTGAATTTCTCTATGCTATAGGAATACTAATCCCTCCCCAACAATAGAGACAGGCACTCCATAGAGCAGACACACAAACAGACTTTCATTAGAGAATGCAGTCCTGAAAGCCTGTTTTACAAAAGACTTTGCTGATTGGACTCAGTCACTTGAACAGTGATGGATACAGGGTATGTTCCACAAGAGCCTAGAAAGAAAGGTGCAGCAGTATCAGCAGTGAGATGCAGACACTGCAGAATTCTGTAACAAAATGTGTATTGTATTAATATTAATGTAATATTATGTGCTTAAGCACATAGCATTCCATAACCTGAGTCCTTAACATCTACTGTGTAAATACTTTTTTTTTTTTGTGGAAAGTGATGACCAGAAATGCTGAGAATTGTGTATTTTAAAACAGCAGACTCCTATTTGGGTCGACATTTCCTCTGTTCTCTCCATCTCAGCGGTTTGCCAACATTTCTTCAGTTAATTACTGAAATTTCAGGTGCATTCTGAGCCTTTCAATTCCCAGACTTTCATATCAACATGTCAGGCAATGAAGGTGTCAGGAGAGCCCTGGGGTATAAAGACAAATTTTCCAATTCATAAGCACATTGGTGGGACACAAACATACAAACAGAGACATTCAATTTACATAAATGCTTGTGGGACATGTTTTGAGACTTCTATGCTAAGAATGAGAGGTTATTATAACCTATGGGCTTCCTTGTTTATAAATGCTCACAGATTTAACAGTGAAGACCAAATTTTCATAATCAATAGCCTCTGTTTTTATTTATTAGTTACTATCACAGGCAAGTGCTTCTGTTGATTAAGGGCAATGAAATCATGTCTACTCCCAAGGCATGAATAACATGAATAAAAGCTTATGGGGTTAATTCAAGGCTTTTCACAGGCCCTGTGAGAAAGGTAGGTGGTGTTACTCCAGTAACATTTAAAGGACCAGTTTGCAGCCCCAAAGTATATCTCATTATGAGTTAAAGATTGGGCAAGGTTGTTCTCAGAAACAGACTCCCCATTCACAGCTATAAGTCACTCTGCCTGTATCAGGGGCCACCTTTGCAAAGCTCTCAGCCTCTCTGGAGGGGGCAACCCACATGTACCTGAGTCATTTTCCCAGAAACCCTACTGTTATTGGGGTAGGTAGAGAAGCTTGGCGTGATGGAGCCGAGACCTCCTGCTCGTGGGACAGGGCAGCACCAGGGTCTGCTCCCCTAAGCAGGACAGGCCTTGTACTGGGGCTACTGCTGGATGACAGCTGGCAATGCAGGTGGAGTGCATTCAGCTCAAAAGGATGGCTTTGATTAATCCAGTTTCTCAGCCTCTTCCTCTGTTTGCAGCTGAGTATGGGCTGAGGACCAGCCTTGCTTCCTGTTTTCCTTTTGGGACAATTCTTCCACATAGCACAGATCACACTGCTTCACTATCCACCGAGAAGAAAGACCTTATCTGCTGATAGGTGATGAGGAAGAGAAGCCTTTACAGGTTGCTCTCCTTAACCACTAATTTCTTTGACAGCTGGTATTTGGACTATAAGAGGCCTCAGATAAAACATTCCCAGCATGCCGAGTACAGATTAAATCCCGTTAGTTGCAGAGCACCTTCTCCAAGGGGATGAACACCTTTGACCTGTAAGGATGGCTTTGCATAGATCACTGACTCCCAAGATTGAACCTTTGACCCAGTGGTGTTTATCGTGTGAGTTCTTCACCTCATTTGAGCTCTCCCGCTACCTCAAAATAGGATCACTGCAGTCTAAAAGGAAGAGGGAAAAGGCCGTCATCTGACCAGAGATTGCCAAACCTGTGGAATTTCTCAGGTTTCATAGTAAGTCAGGTAGTTACTGCTTGTACATCTGAGTAGAGGTGGGAGGAAGCAAATGCATCATCAGAAAGTGATGCATTTAGAAGTGATGGATTTAAAAATCAAGAAACTCACATTCCTGTAGTCAGGCCAGGTCCCTTTTAAATCAGAAGAAGAGGAAAAAGAAGAAGAAGAAAAAGGAAGAGAAGGAGAAGAAGAAGAGAAAGAAGATGACAACAAAAAGGAATTCACAGCACAATATTATATTGAATCTGAGCCAATAAAATTCAAGCCCAACTCCATTTTGGCTTTAACTTCTTTTCTTAGGTATTCCATTTTATTGTAGTGACACACAAATGTCCATTAACAATGAACAGTGGAGTCAATATTCACCCACTCCCCAACATCAGCAGGTTGAACCACTGTCTGCCTGCCTCTGTTCTGTACATAGACAGCCCACTCAGACTGGTGGGATATCTAAGCTGGACATGGAAAATGCCCAAGGTTAGATGGTGTGACCTCCCCGTGTAAAGGCAGAATACATTTGCAGAGTTCACAGAGTTGAATATTTCAAGTCTGAAACATTATCCTGCTCCCACCTGGATTGCCAGGATTACACTGTATTTATAGAAGGAATAAAAATTTCTTATCAGCCGTGAGTGAATACAAGGAGATAAGCAAAGGACATGAGCTATTAGGTAACTTAACACTATTCAGTTTACATCAGTAGGAAGCTGCTCTGTGGTCTCACCTGCAGGTACTCAGCAAAGAATTTTTATGTCCAATATAGTCAAAGGTTTTTGCTGGTATTTTATACATTTTCATACCCATCTCAAAGATTTTCACTGTGGCTATGAAGCAAATTTTGTTTTCCCAGTGACTCTGCCTCTCTGGCAAACATCTGCTGTCCATGCTGCGCAGTGCCTGTCAATGCAATGAACTTTCAATGTGTTATTTCTTGAAAAAAGCTGCAAAAATTTTACTAGGAAATAAGATCCTTTTCCTAAAGACCTTACCTCAAAACCTCAACCATTATTAAAACAAAGCTTGAATTACATAGGAATATGGTACTATCAGACTTTGCTCTAATTGAAGTTTGTTCTTAAACTCTAAATTTGATCCTTGTAGTTTTAAAAAAAAAAAAAAAGAACAACCAAAGACATAATGAAACAAAGTACAGGGACCTTCAGCTGAATCAGTAGGGGAAATTAGGATGGCAAATAAAGAATATATTGTCATTATTTTTCATACAGAATACTTCTTTTATCTGCATTGCAAACCATTTATTTTCACAGACAATCATATGATGTTAAAATAGCTCAAGCTGAGAATTCCTGACCAGATTTTGGAAAAAAACAAGAGAACCTGATGTATCAGCCTTTTTTCATTATGAACAGACAAAAGGCCCCATGAGGCACTAACTCCTCATCCAGATCCCCCCTAGGGCCTTCTATGGCACCCTGTGACAACCTGGGTCTCTCAGAGAAGTGATTTGTAATGCATTCAGGACTATAGAGCTGGCCCCAGATGTGTCACTTGGCCAAGCCTGTCACTAGAGATACAAAATTGGATCTGGACCCTTGCTGAGTTGTGACCACCGTCCCAGACACACTTGGATACCACCAACGTCAGTAATTTACTCAAGCTTTTCCAAATGCAAACCCTCGGAATCCTGAATTAACCTGCCTGTTTCTTTCCTCTCAACAACAGAAAACAAGCTATAATATTCTAAACTGTGGGGTGAAATAGAATAAAATATCAAGTTAGCATCTAATCTTTCTTATCAATTAGAACTTGCAAAAAGGACTAAAAAGTGTACACCAAATAGTGTAAATAGAAATTGCTGGTTGGAATTCCAGATACACCACTTACTGTGTCTTTTCTGATGGATCAGCCTGCCTCATTCAGAGCTTGGGAAACAGTTTCAGTGTTTACAGCCATACAGAACAAATATCCTTGCAGCAATATCTGGATCAAACCCTGAATTGCAGGCTGCTCTGGGCAGTGCTGTCTGCACTTTCTGCCTTCACAACTGGTACCATGGCATGATAAACAATTCTGCTATTGGCAGTTTGTTTATTAAAAAGAAAACAAAAGTGCTGTCTTGAATTTAAATGGGAAAGATCACACTAAAACCATGGAAAAAACATGGATATATTGCGGCACCAAAACCTCAGAGTTTTCCCAGCTTATCTAATGATAATACCCCCCCTTTCCCTCCACTTTCTTTTTAATACTGTACCAAAATGAACACGACCATTCTGCAGCTGAGTCTCTGTGTTCACTTGACTGTTCAGGCCAAATTCTCTCCTTTAAAATTTACTGAAATATGTGGAGTTACGCAAACAGAGGACTTGCCCTCCTGTACTCTCTCTTGCTAAGAAACCAGTTTGCTTGTCCGTAAGCCCGTGTTTCTAAATTTCCAGGAGCAGAAACACATTGTGGCTTTAAATATAGACTGTCAGTTTGTGGCTTGCGTCTCATGTTACACACAGACAGCTTGAAACTCTAAATGCAAGTTGGGCAGCACCATTAATATCTCCGAAAAGTGTCAGTACGTTTTCAAAATGCCCTATATTTTAATTCCTGAAGGGAGGAGGAGGAAAAAACATCCAAATGAAACTTTTCTATGCCGGGGTTTAGGCGGAAACATTACTAACTTTGCTTGGTTCTATTCGGGAGTCAGAGTTTGCAAAGCCTGTTTCAGTTCTTCACTCACACACACACACACACTAACACAAAGAGTAAAAAAAGAAAACAATTTCTTCACAACTTTTTTTTCTTCAGGATTAGTCTCAGGCTTATTTTTTTTTTTTTTGCCCCCATATGAAATGCATTAGACAATCTTTTCCTTAAGAGACAGACTGAGAAATACACTATCATTGTAAAGAGGGGGGGGGGAGTAAGGGTACTCACGTGGTTGAGATGTCGCATTGTTTTGGGAACTCATAATTTACGCCTTTGAAAAATGCCTTATTTGTGTTGACAGTCTCTCTTCCCTGCTCAAAACTGACGGCGGGATTGAACAGAACAGCTGGAAGAACCCAGGAAAATGCTCCTCTTGTTCGGGCTCTCCTTGCCTGGCTCCTGACCCCTTTACAACTGGAAAAGGAAACAGCACATGTGTCATTCTCTTTTGCCTGTGTAGCTCACATGAGCGGGGAGGGGCACCCATTTGCAGATAGCAGTAACTGTATTCAAGTTTTGCAAGTTGGATATATTCCACCCCTTTGCTTTTATTAGCCAGCAACCAGTGGAAAGAAAATGATCTTTTCATTCTTAGCCAAATGTAGACACACCTATTAAATGCACTTCCCAAACTCCTAACCACAGATGTTGATATATTTCTTTAACTGCAAAACTTGCTGCTGACTCCCCAAAGTGCCTACCATCACTGGGTAAGCTTGAAAATAGGGCTTTCAATTTTCATTGCCCAGCATCATCCTTAGCATTCACAGTCTAACTAATTCTGTCCTTTTAACAGGTGAAAATTGAGAATGGCATTTACTTGGTCACAGCAGTTATGTCAGCACATAGCATGAATCTACACTGTGCTGAAAACAAGAGGGAATCTGTGGCTGCAGCACAGGCTGAGGCACTGGCAACTCCATTCCTGGCCCTGATACAGGCTTCTTATGGAAACTTTGGCAAAATATTTAATCTCTGTCCCGTTTTGCTATTGATAAAATAAAGAAGAGATAATTGGTTTCCTCCCAGTCATGGTATTTTTATTTAATCTACAGGCAGACAATATTTATAAAAAGTTGTATTTATTGGTCTGCAGAGGTTAATTTACTCATACTCCACAGCTGGTTTTTCAGCCTGGACTAGGCTACCAGCTCCCTTGTTTATACTGGTGCCATTTAAAGCTATCTGTTTGGCTTTCTGCATGCTGTACTGCAGTCAGTGGTATGCAGTTATTGTAAGTGTGAATACACAATAGACTGCAGTTGACATGGACTACAACTTCTAGATCGTACCAAAATACAAGTAATTTTTAATTATATCCCTTGGACACTACAATGAGTGGACAAAGTTTCCATTTTCCTGCAGTCTGTGAGTCAGGATGTATTAACTGCCTGCCTGTGATAGCAAAAACACGGTAACCAACAGAATGGAAGTGGAAAAAAACAGAGTCATGAAATTCAGGTTGAGACCATCCTGTTTTGCAAAACTGTCACAGGATATTTTTGTGAAATCATCTCAATGACCTCCTACAAGAAATCAATGCTGTGAACTTGGTCCACAGTATTTATCTAACAGCTATAGCATGGAAAGAACAGTTAGTTATTTACATGCCAATGGCAAATAACAGCTTGTTTGTGAGCATGGATGCAGTAAATGGCTTTGGTCAGCATTTCCACACTCTGGGCTTGTGGTAGAGAGCCCTGGAACATTAGTGATGGACAGAGCAAAGCAAGGCACAAAACAAAGGGAAAACAACAGGAAAAGCTCCTGACATTGCTCCTCTTGTTTCAACTCTACAGTGTGACATTAATTTACACCAGGTAGCTTCTCTGAAAATACTGGTGGGCATGTTATCAATTCCTGCTTCTTCTGTATTTGAAACACAATGGGCACGGGTAAAATTGTGGCTTTCTGTTCTGGGCATGAGAATTGTTCTCATGCAAAGTTTTTACATTTAAATCTTTCACCATGCTGATCAAGGACAGGTTGGGTGGGCTTTGAGCACTTGGTCTAGTACAAGGTGTCTCTGCCCATGGCAGAGGGTTTGTAATTAGATGGTCTTTAAGGTCAACCAACTTGAATCATTGTATGATGCCTGAGAAACTTCAGAACTGCTGTTGAGAAAAGACTCCTCAGCTGCTGCATATAAACTGAAGGATGATGGTATTGATAACTTTATTACGTTAAAACCAGTAGTCTCGACCCTTCTCAGGAGAGTTGTGGCAGTGCATGTATCCAAGGGGGTTGTGCTAAACTGAGCCTGATTAGCTTCTGGTGCTTAACCCCTTTGCATCTGTGCAAAACTTCCTGCATCTGTCTAGATTCTTATTAAAACTACTCTCCCACAACTAAAATAACTTATACCTAAGTTTATATAGGAGGATTCTGGCAGAACCAAGCCCACATGAGAAAGTCCACTTTAACACCTTGACATCTTCACTTTTCTTGGGACTTCTTTCTTTGCTAATTGAATAGACTGTGATTCCCAGAAATCAGAGAGCCATTTCCCAAGGCTGTTGTTTGCCTTCAATTAGGTCATTGAAAAGACCTCCCTGACCTTTTCCACTCATCATTAATAGGAAATATGTGATGCTGAAAAGCAAAGAACCATATAGTCTATCATGCTTCTGGAGGAGCCTGAGACTGGGCATGCAAGGAAGTGTGTATGTCAGCTCTGTGGTTTTCATCAGCCAATTACTTGACCTTCTTGGGGCCACAATGTTCCCATTAACCTACAGAAGTATTACCTTCCTCCTGGTGAATACTTTTGCATCTCTAGCCTTTAAAAGCTCAGAGTGCTTTTCAGAGTATGGAAACCAAAATTTCCTTTTTGTCTCAGTAGTGCTTTCAGATGTGACCATTCTTTCAGGTCCAAGAGTGTTAGTTTGGAAGTGGGACCTCCATTCCCTCTGATACTGCAATTTATCCTACTCCTCCTAAGCACAACTATGTAATGAATGCATAGTCAGGCCCACATGGTTGTTCCCTGTGATACTATCTTGCTCCAAGATAAATGATATTTCACAGTCATTCAGGCTTGGCAAGCTGATACCGCATGCTGCAGCTGTTGTTCCCAACAGGAAGGGAGGGTTTAGGCTGCACTTAAAGGAAAATAAATAAATAAACCAAAGGGAAGAGTCTCTCTTCAGGAAGCCATGCTTTACAACAACAGGACATCAGACTGTAAATCTCTGTCTTTGATGGATTTTCATGACAAAACATAATGCAAAATCTGTGATCTCAGCCTATAAAAACAGTGACAAGATTGGAAGAGGCTGAGTGGAAAACTCTCAGTAATATCCTTCATTGCCCACCCTGCATAACCTCCAAGCCTCAGAGAAGGTGTTTGGATCCATCACTCGGACATTTGAGAGAATGTAGCGGTGGTTGAAGCAGCTCTTGCCTGTTTGAGAGTTCAAAATGGGCCTCATGACCATGCTGATGGTCACATTTGGATGAGCCAGTGGTGTCCAACTAGGCTGTGTGTCTGGTCACCTGGCCAGCTGGCCTGAGAGGTGGCGTTGGCTTTCTCACCATCTTTGCTGGCTATGCACTTCAGGCTGTCTTAAACATGCCAGGCTGCTGAGCTATCTGTGGTTGGGTAGGATGCCAAACTTTGAAGACTTCATGCAGGTCAAACAGAGATGTGCACTATGGTGCAGTAGAACCTAGGCTGAATCTTGAAGGAGAGATTCTTTATAGGAAATCATTTGGCTCTGGACATCCCATGAAATACTATTTTCTACTGATTAGCTTCCTCTGCATCTCTGGAAGGAATAATAGTCTATTTATTTTTTACCTTGTCTGGTAGGGTCTCCCTATGCCTTCAGACGTCTTGTTTCCTTTCTGTTTCTCTTTTATTTTGTGCTGAGAGGGTGAGGAATACTGACCACAGAATATTCATCCTCTGTGTGGACCATCTCAGGTCTAGTGTAATGTCATGGAGAATGTGAAAGGGATCAGTGTAGATTTATTATCCAGGATGGACTATGATGCTAGTATAACTCATATTTTATGTGGTGCCTATGTGGTCAGTGACTTTAAGTGCAACTATATTGTGAAATCCTTGGAACACAGAGCAGGAATTTTCTGTCTGCAGTCATAACAGCAACTGTTACTGAATAAGCTCTTGACTCTTGCACAAGGCCAAAAGAGAAGGATTTACCGTGGAGATAAGAATTCTGCTCTTCTTCCTACTTTGTATCTGAGGCATATGTCTTTATTTTTACCATTCTTCTGACTTCCACTTGAACCTGTGGAACCTATGCCTCTCCCTGGAACGCAGCATCCCTCCTGCCTTGTGTTATCACACAGCTATTTGCAGTTACAGGATGTAGTATGACTGTTTGTGTTTAAGGCCCCCACTTAATCTCTTAGTTTATTTGGGTCAAATTCTCTTCCATTTGTGTCTGTAAAAGGGAGGGGAACCTTCAGTGTAACTGCAATGCAAGTCCTTCTCAAAGCACACTGTCTCTCCGTAAAATGGAAATATAAGGAGAATCTAACTCTTTTCTGTAGCCTGGAGCTTGGCTTTCCATGAACTGCAGTCCATTTAATGACACCATGGAGAGAAGATGTGTCAGTCAAGAGCTCAGTGGACAGTGCATTGCAGTCTCTGGGACTATCTATAATGTCATGTCCAAAGATCAGACAGAATGCCTTATAGCCACTGAGTCCCACCTCCTCTCTAATTTAAAGTCCTACACAACTGAAAAACACATCTGGTCATACTCTAGAGCAGTCAACAGGATGTTGACATGCTGTTTGATAGTGCATCTTTGGAACAGTGGTAACATAATCTGGGTAGGAATGGAGGGCGTGAATCATACTATCAGACTCTTGCTGAGTTCAAGAAATCTGAGACCAGGCTTTGGTACATGGATTTCTCATAACAAAAGAATTGAATGACAAATAAAATAAAGTGAATCATGCTGAAATTTAAAACAAAAGGGAAGACTTGCTCACACAAAACAGATCTAAACACTACAAGTCATAATTCCTGGATGATGTGATGTAGTCAGATCTTCAGTGGGGCTGAAAACCATTATTCTTATTCACATAGATGACACCGTATTAATGTAGCATAATTTCAATAAGTTGTCTTTTTCTAGGTTGCTGCATAACTCCAAAATGGCCAGAAAATTGAAAGTCAAGAGTTTTGATGTCTGTGGAACCTGCTGTGTTTTGTTACCCAAGTGTTAAATTATGCTTTCATGGCTAGTTAGTGCAGCCAAAAATCCTCTCAAAGGTGATTAGTCCATCACCTGAACTGTCCTTTTGTAACATGAAATATGGGCTTGTCTCAGCCTGAGCTCTCTGGAGGGCTGGATCCTAAGTTCTTTTGTACTTTACCAAGGCCTTCAGCCTCTTTTGGTAGAAAAGACTGGATACATCAGGCACAGAT